AACCCTTTTGGATTTCGTGATGGTGCTTTTATTAAATATAATTATGAATATCAAAACTAAAACGAGCACATTCATGCAGGTATAATTACCTCTAGTTACTAAGCTAAACTAAATGCATGTACATATATAAATATAAAGAGAGTTCACTTGACTTGCCTTTCGCAATGTTTACTTGAATACCAGTTATTAAATACCAGATATCTTCCAACCCCTCCTCAAAGGTAAACCTCAAGGTTTACGCAAAAATAGAGATCTCCTGCTCACTAAAATTCTTAGCTAGAGGAACTCAGTGTGGCCTAATATCTCACCAGGACAGATGAATCACAAGTCAGTTCCTTTGTTTGGTTAAGCCAAATGCACCAGAATTCACTATTTGCCCTGCTCATCGATATAATCTCGACATTGAATGGAGTCGTGTGTGTAATACTAGGTGTATTGCATGTGTATTGTGCCACAGAACTCTCTGGCCATGGATAATAAAGCTAAGGATTCCTGCCTCTCAATGCGGTTAGAAAATTAGTCCTCTTTTATTAAGGTGAAGATTGTCCATAAATGTAAAGTGTATTGTTACAATCATTTTTGATATCTTTTCTAAAATTTTAAAAAACCTCGCCAATTTCTGGAAAGGGCACAATTCTATCCTATATCCCTGTTATTTCCAGTCTGGACTGTTGATATGCATGTAATTATATTGTAATCTAAAGTATGATCATAGTAGAAATATCATTTTTTGATATAAAATAGATAGAAATTTGGAATATAGGCGAAAATTCTCACTTTTAGCAATGCATCAAGAGTCAGTTTGAAACCAGGGACCGTGACCCTATGGGAATACCGGGGCAATGTTAAAATCCCGGCATTCTCTGGGCCTTGAGGCAAAGCAAGGCGGCTAAATAGTTCATTTCCTTTGATTAAGATGTTAATTTCAGTAATGCAGTACCAATTGAAACCTGCTTTTTGATTGCTCCTTAAGTACAGCACCACTATTGTTAGGTTAGGTTTTGTTATATTGTTGGAAGACTTATCTATTGTTTGTCCATTGTTTTCTCAACCTATCATGAGACCCGTTCCGAGCTTTGCTACCTGGCTCGTTAATTTGACCGTTATAACGTATCAATACCCCAGGGCATAAAGGCAGTGATCGATAACAAAAACATACTTTTAAGTATATTTTAAAATATTCATATGGACGTAGATTTTTGGAAGCCGCTTTGAACACGATCAAGCGAGAAGAAGTTATACCGACCTGAAGAAGTTGACCAAAATGGCAACGAAACGTCGTCAAAACAACAATGAACTGAATGAGCTGATTAGCCCAAGTAACCGAAAAATACCTTATTTATGGTATTATTTATAGTATAAACTAGCAAAAACTAACTAAAAACTAACTCGTACCCGCACTTTAATAAGAAACCGTACAAACTTACCATAGCAAGAAGTCATGAAAGCAGCAACAAGCGCAATG